TTGTGTGAAGGCGGTCACCTTGGAGAATATGTTTGTCGGTGTGAAGTTTAGCATCAATGTTTATTAATGTTCTCAGAAATAGTGTCTGCTTTTAGAGAGGATCACCAGAACGTCTTAGTTGTGTGTTGCACTTTGTTGCATCAGTTGTTCCCAGTAGGCAGAGTTGGTTTTAAATATTATAGATTTGTTCTGATTATGACAAAAAAAGTCTGGCTCGTTTTCAGTTTTATTCAGGAAGATTTATTTAATTTCATATCTTTCTATATGCAGAACTACGTTGAATAATTTGCAATTAGATCAAAATATTTTCTTTCGGAAGTTAAGCTTTTCTTCACGTATTTGTGATTGACAATATTTTTAAAAGGTGATTCATTTAAAATTCTTCAGGTGATTTAATTTCGTGCTTCGATTTTCCTATTACGAAATCCAGCTGATACAGAAATCCAAAAATTGTTTCACGAATTTGTCTATTTTTGGCCTTCGCGAGTTTGCTCAAATGTATTTCTAGGAAGCATGATTATTATTGGATATATTTCTAATTCTACGAAGCATCATCACAGTCGTATAAAGCTAAGCTAACAAAAGTCAAGTCATCCGTACTTAAAAAATCTGATGTAAACAAGCACCACACGATTTCCTTGTACGGCCTATTAAATTTTTTGCTTCACTTCATTTAAACTTGTTTCCTCGGATTTAATTAGAGATATATTTCTCATTCAGTCAATTCAATTCTTCCTTCGCGGCAAAGCAAAAATACATAAAAACTGAAAACATCTTCATTAAAAACGTTAAAACTTACAGGAAAACTTTTAAAACACTAATTACAGTTAAAAGCAATTACATATTTTTTTGCGGGGGGCAATTAAAATTAGTTTCTATGCAAAAAAAAAAAAAAAAAAAAAAAAAAAAAAAAGCAAATCTGCCGACCAGTAAATTTTTGATGCACAATAATTTAAATTTGGCTTTTTGACCCACTGCGCAAAAGGACACTGAAGTTGGTGCACCAACTATCTTCACTATACTACTACTACTACTCGTTGCTGAGCAGGCTCCCGATCAGGGTACCACACGGGATTTTCACCTACTTCATCGGAGTTGGAACTAACCCCGGCCAAACCCCAACCAAAGACTTAAACGAGAATACAGACAGCATTATTATTTTTAAGGAGGGGGGATAATAAATAATTCACTATACTACTGAAAGTTTCAAATGTAAACAAGTAGTCGCCACATTAGACCTACCGCGACTTACACTTGATAATTCTGATATTTCAAATTGTTGATAATTCTGCAACTGTAGCACGCTGATTAACTGAAGGCACAAAAATCTTAACCGGAACATAAAAACAACATAATTAAATCACTTTTAAAGCAAAAAAATGCATAATTTATCACCATATAAGAGAATGAGTAATATATATACACATACACATATTTGATGCAGCTTATTGCAACAAAAAAGGGTGGTTGACAACTAGATGGTATAACAAAATTTCAGCGTTTACATATACAAAAATTGAACGTTTGACGGCTGGTCATTTTTGAGTTATGCGATATACGTTCGTATGTACAGATGTCACGAAAAAAAAAATTTCTTCTCAGTCCATTTTAAACCCTCTTTATAATCCGTTTTGAAAAAAAGAGCCATTTATTCTCTCCGTACGTACAGATGCCGCGAAAAAAAAAGGGGGGGCAGTCAAATTGGATATTTTTGTAGTAACATTGTACAGACATTTTGAGTTTTTGGAAGCCGAAGAGGTGAAAAAGGAGCAACACCTTCGCCGGGAATCCAACCACGGACCTCTGGAATACGCGCCCAGCATGCAGACCACTACACCACGAAGGCACATTAAGAGGGAGGGGAAAATACCTTATAACATGATACCCGAAATTTTTCACGATTACAATACTTCCTTTACTTTGTACAAGAAAATAAAAATCCAGAAATATTTAGGGAACGCCTGACATTTTTCAGGTTAAACACTAAAACGGGGTTCTTCACTGAAATATGGGACTCTACCCCACTGTTCGGAGCGTCTGGTCAACTTATTATATTGCAAAGTCAGATTTTGTTTTCTTCCGGTAATGAAAATTATGCGATGCAGTATGTAGGTCACACAATTCAAGTTTAAAAAAAAAAAAAGTCCCTTTTTAAAAGTTACAGTAAATTATAGAATACGGAAACAATATTAATGTCGCATGCTTAGCGATGGAGTAGCTTCGTGGAAGACTTGTTAGAAGAAATTGGCTCGCGTTTACATTATACTTGGAAGAATCGCACTTTTCTATGTAAAAACTGGAACATTTTTTGTTATTTTTTAAGAATTTCAAAAATCATAATTTAGAATTAGTCTGTTGTCTGTTCTAAGTCATAAGTTCGATCAGAACGATGTTTGTATAAAACCATTGCTTGTAAAACAAAAAATTTACGGATTTGTTATACTCAACTGGGAAAGGGTCACTCTTCTCGAGTCGCGTTGAATGGTATGATAGTAAAAGGAGGCTGACTGTACAATCGTATTTGGATTCCACTCTCATTCGACACAAAAACGTTTACGGTTGTACTCTCATTCCAGAATCGAGGCACTTAAAAATCTGTCGTTTCGAAAATCATTTCAAGAGGTTGATTGTAGGCAAAAAGGGAGGGAAAAAATGCTAGAATTCCATCCCCGAATGTATCCTTAGTCAAAATTAGAATAGAAAGGAGGCGCTTAGAAATAAGTAATCGAGTTCAGTCGCATTTCTGAAGTACCCATCTCAATTGCTTTCTTGAAGCATTCTTTTCTTCAACTGCATTCTTTTTAAATTAAATCTGCTGTCTCTAAAGCTAACCATATACATATGCTAGTTTTATATGCCATAGCAATTTACGGACGTACGGCATCCAAGATAAATGTAACATGGATAAAAAATCTAAGTTGTTTAAAATCATTGGGTACGATGAAAAAGGTATTTTATACTGAGTTATTTGACGGCATTGATTTAAGTATCTTTTAATGCTCGTCATTGGTTAGGAGAGCCTGCTAAGGTAGCGTAGGGCCCGGGTTCGAATCCTGGAGAAGACATGGATGTTTGTAAATATATAGTGTCAATGCGGCATGGCGGCACTCTAAATATGCGACGAGTCGAACGTCCTCTCGTGTGGATTGGTGGAAAGGGAGAGGGTTGGGAGACACCCGGATTCCCCTCCCCAGTTGTTCTCCCCTAAAATTGGGGTGAAAAATAGAAGTCCAACCTCACTTTGGAGTAGGCTGTAACAACCATTGTTCCATGTAAGATGGCCAAGAGAACAACAACAACGTACGTCATTTAAATAAACAGTATAATGGCCACTAACATGAAGCTTAGTTTCTTGAAGTTTTCAATTAAATTAAGTATGAGTTTTCTATTTTTTTTTTTTTTTCCGTGAATGGTTTAGGAGAAAGAGTAATGTATTTATATAAATAATTTTACGGTAATTATATCAACAAATTATACGTCGGTTATTAAAATCTCACCTTTCTTAGTTTTACTATAATAAATCAGTATTGTTTTGCTGTATTAATATGGCTTAAAAGCATAAAGTGCTGGTAATCCGAAGGTTTTTCTTCCCCTAATAATGACACTTTAAGTGAGATCACTGCAGTTTAGGAAGAAATTTACATATTTTTCTGATTTGGTGCTGCCCGTAACGATTTAAATTTCATGCGAAAAATAATTCCTTGAATTCTGCGAAAAATTTTGCTGCCTGGCATTTCTTCCTAAAATGTTCGCGTGTTTCTGCGCGCATTTCCTGTTGAGTTTTTTTTTTTTTTTTAATTGATTTAGCAGAAATTTTAAATTCAAATTCTGTTGTGTCTTTTTCAGAAAACCTTTTTCACGTAACTTAGATTGCATTGCAACAGTTATGTTTTTTAACTTTATTATGTTTAACTTTTTATTTCTCTTGCTATTACGTGGTAATGCATTTAAGTTATTTTTAGGTTAAAAAGAAAGGAAAGAAAAGTTTCCTTAGATGCATCCTGAAACGAATTAAATCCGATATACGTGCGGACAGGTGTGCGTGCTTTGATTAATTTCTCATTTTTCTTCAGCGTAACAAGGGTTACAGAATGCGAAGTTTTGTGAAGTTACGAGTGTAACTTATTGAGTTTTGTTTCCGTTTATCATGTTAAATGCTAGTCGTGGTCTAAGCAGTAGCTTCATAAATTGTACGAAGACCATAATTTCTTACTTTTCAGTGAGAAAGTAAATTATTTTTCTCTGAAACTAGAGAATCATCAGCTGTATGGTGTATTTCCTAGGGACTTGACAAATACTAATTCTTTTCGAGGGTCCTCGACAGGAATGTGAAGGATCCTACCACTACTAATCAATAAAGACAGACCCATCCTTATATATTATAGGGCTACCAATCTTCGCAATATTTCGCTATTTCTGGCGCCTGTTCCAAGTTTTTAGCATCTCCCAAATTTTCATTATTCAAAAAGTTGTTTTCTGTACCTGCAATATTTTTCATTTAAGATAATTAACTGAAATGTAATGGGCCCAATATAATGTATAAAGCAATTACATTTTATGAAAGAACTAATTTCATAGATGTGTTAAATTTTTTTTAATTTAAATTTCTTACATTTTATAGTCCTGTTCATTTCTGTTTTAATGCTTAGAGCCTTGATAAACATTGAATTCTTATGCATGCTGGATAGAGTAATGGTTTTCCTTTATGTATTACTTGTTCATATCGATTTTGTAGTTCTAATCCCCGCTTTGAAGTGAATGATAAATACAGGGGACAGCTATCATTTTTCTTGTAAAGTTGTATTGGGGAACTGACTATACTGTTAATCAATAATTCATCTTAGGTTCGCCAATTTTTAATATTTGGCGTTTGCAAAACGGGGAGCGTATATAATCGGTGGTGATACAGCGAGAAAATTAAGCGCCATGGGCTTGGCGATGTTGGCGCTGAAGGTAGTGGCCATCTACCGAGAGAGTGCCTAGCAGTTGTTTAGATGAAAGCGAAGTTGCGGGCGGACTGATGGAATGCTCCCTTCTTCACCTGTGGATCCGCTACTGTATTCCTCTAATGGGAAGAAGATTCTTCTCACATTCCGTCCTGCGACACCAGGGCATGTGATTCTGGTGTATGGCATTATTTTACCTGTCCTCCGCCGGGAAGGTAAGATCATTTTTACCTACCATTCATATTGCCCACAGCCTGCAGTGAAAAAGTGGGATTTTTCCCACACGTGCATGGCATATTTTCTCCCGCCAAGGAGTTGGTCCAACTAGGTTTATGCTAAACGCGAGCTATAAGTCTATATCAAGTGGGAAGGTGTAATGAGGTAGACTTTTCGTGCATGGCATTGTTTTCACCTGTACTGCGACGTAAAAGAACTTTCTCGGTAGTTATATGGTAGTGCTTCTTTGGGAGTTTAATAACATGAGCTGATGATTTCGCATTTACATGGCATTATTTTTTCTGTTTTCCTCCAGAAAGGTATGTACGCCTGTTATTAAATATCAACTTGCGTTTTTAAGGCAGAAAGCAATCCTTTATTTTTATTTAATTATATTATATTAAGGAGAAGACAAACCTTTATTCTCATTAAGCAATATTTATAAGTTCTGTTTTTATATCCATGTCAATCTTGTCGTTTATTATTATGTGAAGGAAACCTGAGTGACCCTTCGTAAACTGAAAAATTAACGGAATCTGAATTGTGTTATTTCAGTTTATTACTACATATTTGTGTTTATATGTGAAATTAATAATGTGATTGAAATTATATAATTTGATTTATATAAGTATCTAAAAAATCATGAAGAGGGCAGTGAAAAATTATTCGTGGGTCAGACAAGAATAAAATATTGAGAGAGAAAGGAAAGTACATTAATTGTCAGTCTTTCTTAAATTAACTGCCTGTTAATATTTAAGTTCTTTGTTTTAACCTTGGTCTTCTGTTACTTAATTTGAAACTGTTGTTCTTTCTAGATGAGATTTTCGCTATTAGCATCCTTATGTAATGCGTAACTTCACCCCCCCCCAAAAAAAGCATTTTTTTTTAAGTCGGTAGACTTTTATTTTTTGCAGATTAATATTATCCCATAAGTCGGTTCTTATGTTTCTAATATTGCAATATACGAATGTTACATAAAAGGAACTTTTTTCTTTCAATAAATCCTATGTTTATGTGAGAATTATTAATACTTACTGTACCCGTATTTCAAGCGGTTATTAAAAAAATTGTCTTTTTTCTTCCTTTTTTGGTAGAAGAGTTTTTTAATAATATATCTTATTCTTTCAAGCCATTTATGATTCTTCTTTTGGCATAGATCGAGAACGTACCTTAATTTAGAAAGCCGATGATAGAAAATATTTAAGAGCTAAAGATTTAAATAATAAATGCCATATGTTTACTGCATTTCTAGTTTTTGCGTGTATTCTTTTTTCGCCTTATAATAGGCTCTTATAATTCACCTGCAGACAAGTAACAGAGCATTGTATGAACTGCTGTGTATGATCTATCAGAAATTTTTAAGCCAAAACCGCTGTTTTTAGGCTAAAGATTGTGAAGATTATGTTAATATATAAGAATATTTAAAATCCTAAATGTTAATTATAAACTGCGTTTCTGTAAGTGTTTTTCAATCCTGGAATTGTATTAAAAATGAAAAATTTCATTGAAAAGAAGTGTCTCCATCGAAAAAAAAGAAAATCATTGCTCATAGTTTCGACAGGATTTAAGATCACGATATTGTTATTCGTAATCATGACTTTAGCATATTATTGAAAGTCTGTAATGTATTCAATTGCGTTTCTGTATTGTATTTTTATGATTAGTTTTCTGTGTGATAAGTGACAAATTATCGTTGCATAGTAACGCATTAAAATTTGAAGTCTTCTGAAAGATGACTCTTTAAACATGATGAGGAAAGACTGAATTTGGTGTGTTAAGTTCTGAAAAAATCTTCATTCTTTTTGTAAAAAGTGCCTCGTTATGGCACCTTATCTTCTCCATAATCCCTCTTTTTACTTCCTTGTACGAAGTAAAAGGAAGTATTGTAATCGCGAAAAGCTTCAGGCAGCATATTTCAACGAAAATATCCCCTTTGACCGCTTTCGAATGCAATTTAACGATGTTTTTGCGTGTTATCTATACGTAAGGACAGAATAAAAGACTCTTTTCCTCAAAAAAAACTAAAAAACTGCTTTAAAATTAATTCTGAAGAGAATTTTTCGTCGCGTCTGTACAAACGTATGTACGTACGTGCATACGTACGTATCTCGCATAACTCAAAAACGAGTAGCCTCAGAACGTTGAAATTTTGTATATAAGACTACTATAACATATAGATGTGCACCTCGTATTTTGGTTTCAATCGGCCGCGCCAAACGTATATAAATATATTAATAAATATATCCACTCTGTTACCCGGCTCAGTGATCTCAGTTTCTTTACTCATATATTTGTAAATTGTACATTTTTTGCTTTAAAAATGATTGAATTATGTTGTTTTTATGCCTTTCGTAATTCTGGAAGCAATATTTGTACAATTATCAACAATTTAAAAGCTGTTTAAGTGCGGTTAAGTTTTAAATAACATGGCGGACATATTTGTGTACATTTGAAACAGCAGAATTGTAGATTTGTTGCCAATCTAGAGAGACTAAGCTTCGCAACACAAAAATAACGCCTTCATTTATTATTGCGAATTAAATCATGCTTAATCCTTTCTGGAATTTTTTCGAGGAAATAAGTGTTTAAGATTTACTTCGTAATTTTTAATACAGATATTTTGAGTTTTTATGTATTTTTGCCTTTTGTCGCGAAGTGAAAACTGAATTAATTGAATGAGAAAATACTCAATCGTCTGTGAAAAACTGTTCTTTTTCGTTTTGTTTGTTTAATTTCTTTTATACATCGTTCTAGCTTTGTTATAGTATTTGAATAGAACATGTGGCAACGATTAGATAATTCTTTAAATGATATAAATTTTGTGCATTCTGAGTTATAATATGAACGAAATATAATAACTTTAAGCAAACCTAGCGCCAGAGTGTCGCTATGGTAAGCAAAGTGAATTTTAAAGAATGCATTTATTCTATTGTGGTTTATGCGCTGTCGGCGAAGTAGGTTTAATTCAATCTAATAAGTTAAATAAAATGCAAGAAAAAAATGCGTATAATTTAATATTCCGTACAAGGAAGTCATGTGGTGTACACATCAGATTTTTTTTTTTTTAAGATGTATCAAATTCCTTTTTATGTAGCTAAAATTTTAAACGATGAAATGATTTACCCGTGGACTATTTATTCGTAATGACTAGAGGTTCGCAGGCATTAGTAGTCGAGATTTTACTTAATTTTAATGTGAAAAATATGATAAATATACCATGCAGGTTAATGGTTAAGAGCCGGTTAAACATCATGCGAAAGGGATCTTTAAAATGCATAATTCACGGTGTCTGGCTATCGTTGCGACCGCGCGAAATAATTTTTTTGCTCTACTCGACTTCACAAATAACCAGTTCTATGAGTGTTGCCGTTCGGCAGGAACTAAAATCTTTAACTTATCTTTCAAGTGATATCAGTGTGTAATTGCTTAACAAATCTTAGCGATTCAAAAGCAATAAATACACATCTTAATTATTTACATCTGTATTTTTCGTATCAGAAACGTGCTTAGGGAAATCTTCCTAAAAGTTTATGGACATTCTATAAACGTAGTTAACACAACTTTGCATTTGTCAAACCACGCGACTTTCCAGTTCTTCCTAATGCGCTAAAGCTAGCATCTTAAATTTACCTTCCGTTTGGCCTAGCTAAAAGCTAGTGACTATTTTGTTGCTATTGGATGTAGCATAATATATTTAGTTTATGTTTTAAATTATGATTGTGTTGCTTAAAATAATAGCGACTTAAAGGCAATTAATGTGTTTTTATTGATTAAAATATTAATTTTTTAATAATGTACCGGATTAATACAAATGAATTTTATTAACAATACATCCAAGTGACAAATTTTATTAATGTATATATATTACTATGTCATTTGGTTTATTTTTTATAGATTTCAATGAAATATTTCTTTTGAATGCAAACAAAAGAAAAATACAGCATACAGTTAGAGGTCTTCGAACAGTTTGTTTCAGATTTATCTTGTATGTCTTATTTATTTGGTTTGGCGCTTTTGTTCCATTTTTTATCATATATTTTATTATTAAGTGAGTGATGTTTAATCTAGTGCAAAGGGAAAATTCATACGTCGTCAAAATTTGCGCCATGTGCATATGTAGCGTAAATGTCTGCCTAAAATACGTGTCTGCTGCCGACAAGCATTACTCAGTCTTCTTCTTACATTGTCATGTAAAACACTTCCTCAGCTCAGTAGAGAAAAAATGGTTCTCATTATTTGCGCCCCAAAATGATAATCCCGCGTTTTCAATTCGAGAGTTCTCTTTGTATGAAAGGCACCGCTTTCTTGTCTCGTGATCGATTTTTCGCTCCTCCCCCCCCCTCCAACACTTTCTTCTTCTATTCGTCGGCTTGGTCAAAAGTTTCTTGCCTTAGTCTCATAAAAAATCTGTTTTTGCCTTAAATTTTGCTCCATCACTGGAACTGAGAGTTCGCCTGCGTGAGGTATAATGGTTAAAGGTATGTTTAAATTTGGCGTTTTATGCGAGTTTAGTTTATGCTCCAGTAAATTATTGCACTTACTCGAATGTGTTCTCTATTCTCAGCCTCTGCGATGCTGGTTGACATAGTTACAGTCCAAAACATGAGAAAGTGCAATTACTGAGCTAAAATGACAGGTTAGAGCCAGTTCGTTATTTTTGGATAAATATTATAAGCTGCTTTTTCCTATGCACTTATCCTGGACAATATGTATGCCATAGTACTTACTAAAGAGGCTCGAAAAGCGTTTGAAATTCAAGATAAGTTCACTTCATTATGATCACCGAAAAACGGATTTTTTTAAACTTATTACGAGGTTATCATATCGATCATTTCGTACTAAATTTTGATAATTTTATTCCAGTACTTACGAAGGTGGTCACATTTCCATAATAGAATTTTGGATTTACCTGCTTCAGAGGTGAACTAACTGCTTTAGTATTGGGTAGTTAGGTTTACGTTATTGCCTTTATGTTTTGCGTCTAGTTCGCTATTCAGGC